TCACCCAGCCGGCTTCCTCCCTGGCTGAGTGAACACCCAGCGTAGGGACTGTCACTGGGTTTTGGCTCAGCAGTCTCCCCATTCTCTGCCACGCGGCTGTGTTCGGTGCTCCCAGAGTGTCACATGGCTCCCCCTTTGGTGCCTGTGGCTCAGGCTGGGAGTGGCCTGTGACAGGTGCACATCCTCGGCTTGCAGGGCACCCAGGTGAGCTCTCAGAGTGTCCCAGAGGAGGACGCAGTGCCCCGCCCTGCTGGGAGGGAGAGCAGCCTGCCTTAGGGACCCTCTCCCCCCGCCACAGTGTGCACCCCATCCCTTCCCGAGGGCTGGTGCAGGGCAGTGTTCTGTCCCTTCCCCTGGAACGGAGGAGAAAAGGCCTCACTCTGGAGGCCTGGCTCTCTTTTCTGGCCAGGACAGACACCCTGCCAGGATGGGTGCAGCTGGTGTTCAGCCCTCTACTAGGATTCGAATTCCTGCCCCGCTCTCCACCTCAGTCTCTTTTATTATTATTCCCTGGTTTTAGTCAAGAGTTTTTGAAATTTGCAACCACTGAGGCCATCCAGAGGACGGAAATCTTCGAGTACTGCCAGATGCTGGGCCGCCCCCAGTCCTTCATCCCTTCTTTCCAGGTAACTGACCCCACAGGGCCAGCACCGGGGCAGCTGGGTCTTTAGCTCTGCCCTTTGGCACATACTAGCTGGGCTGAGTCACCTACCACCTTTTCCTCCTTAGCTTGGGTGTGGGAAGGATTAGGGTTTCTTTCTAGGTCCCCTAAACGTCTGCATTTTAAGATAGGAAACAAAAGGCGGCAGTGGCCTCTGCTGGAGGCTCCCGCCTGGCTCCTGGCAGGTGAGAACCCTGCCTGGGTCCGGGCTGCGCAGCGCTCTCTCCCTTGTCCTGGGCCCACAGCCATCCTGTAGGGGGTGGGCATGAGGCCCCACTGCGGGGAGCGGAGGGGCTGCAGGCTCTGCTCCCTCTCCTGCTGGCCTGCTCTTCTGACCTCCCTCCACTCCTCCGGCTCTAACTCTGCAAATTCCTCCCTGTTCCGTCCTCGGCCCCCACCCTCCTTTCTGCCCCCCAGGACTTCAGCTGTGCGGGTGGCGCTGTCCTTCACAGGCTCTAACCTCTCTTCTCAGCTTCTCTGCTTGATGCCCTGCTGTCGCTTTCAATTCATAAAGCCTCCTTCAGTGCCGGCTCGAGTGGCCCAGAAGTGACACACACAGACACACCCCACCGCATGGAACACAAAACAAAACCTGCAAAATGAATGCGTTACTATAGACAGAAAAATGGCCCTATGAGTATCTTCTTTCAGAGTTTTCCCACAGACTCGCCTTGTCCAGCTCCTTGGGGTGCAGGCCTCTCATCTCTTGTTCCCGTCTTGAATCAGCCGCCTCTCGTTATTGCGGGGCTGATAGTAATGAGATTAGCCAGTTCTGGTGAATACATTCTACATGCCTGGCACTGGGCTATTATGCTTCTCATGTGTTATTTTTAATCCCGTGAGGCTGGTGTGATGACCCCCATTTCACAGAAGGGAAAACTGAGGTTCAGAGTTATGGGCTCACATCTCTTGCACATCATTTGTTCTAAGTACTTTACATGGATTATCTCATTTAATCGTTATGACAACCAACGGGTAGAAGGTATTATCCCCATCTTGTAGTGAGGAAACGGAAGCACAGAGCGGTGGGTAGCCAGTGTTCCACCCCCAGCATGGAGCTGGGATATGAACTTGGGCCTGTCTGTTTCCCAAGCCCTCATGCTCCATCTCGCCCTGTTGTACATGTTTCTGTGAATGTGAACCTACGTTTGTCTGGCGTTAAGCCCCTGCACCAGAGCCGTCTTTTCTTCTGGTGTATGTCCCCCTGGCACCTGGTCCTGTGCCCCATGCACACTAGGCTCTCCAGGGACGTGGGCTGCATTTCCATGGTGACCAGGGCCTCGGGAGACTGAGTGGATATGACTTCATCCCTTTGTCGAGGAGCTGCAGGCTGCGCTTGGACTTGGGCCCACGCGCAGGCAGAAAGCCCCCATGGCACGGGTCCTCTTTGATAGTTAGATGCCAGAGTTTGAGGAAGCTGGCAGGCAGTTGGCTTCCAAGAAGTCTTTTCTTCATTTCTTTCTTTCCATCCCTGCCTGGGTGTAGAATTCATTGGCCCTGTTCCTCTTTGCAGGTATATAAACTCCTTTATGCTTCCCGGCTGGCAGATTACGGCCTTGCGTCCCAGGCCTTGCATTACTGCGAAGCTGTGGGCACGGCCCTCCTTAGCCAGGGAGAGAGCAGTCACCCTGTGCTGTTGGGGGAACTCATCAAGGTGAGCTCCTCAAAGGGTTCTCTGCAGCTGTTTTATCTGCAGCGTTCAGAGCCAGCTATTGCCAAGCGGCTTAGGCTCCACCTTTCATTGCCTGCTGTAAAGTAGGAGCCGAGGTTGTCTTTGACCACGCACGCATGCCCAGATGTGACAAGCAGAGGCCTGACATTGTGCAAAGAAGGATGCTGTGGGCGGGGACGATGGGGGGACAATGCAACTCATTCATTCTTGCATCTGCTTTTCTGGTACAGAGAGACTGCACGTGAAGGTGAAACATTCTAATTATAAAAGCTGAGCTTAGAGAATATATTTTAGTGATTAAAACAGGAAATGCCCCTTATTAAAATGCTTTTAAATGCATGGAATACTTTATCACCTGTGGGATATCGTTAAAAAAAACAAAACATATCCACTTTTAGTTCCTAGGGAAGAAAACAATCAGGCAAATAGTTGTTCCAATTAATTGAAGAAAAATGCATTAGCTGGAGAGGAAAAAGGCAGCCTACCGTCAATATTTGCTTTGCTTTAGACGAGGCCCAAGTGTTGGGTTCCTTTCGTAACCAGTGAAGTCGGTGGTGCTGAGCTCCTTACTCTGAGATTCCTGCCACAGGATGACGTTGATAGTGAGCTTGGGGACCCAGAATGGAGGAGGAGGAAAGTTTTAAAACTTAATAATGGAATACAGTCTTGCAATACAAAGTAGTCCCTCGACCCGCTGCAGGGGTCACCTGGGAGCTTGTTAGGGATGCAGAACCTCGGGCCCCATGTAGTTCTGGCATCAGAATTAGCATTTTAACAAGGTCCCAGGTGGTCTTAGGATTTTTTTTTTAAATGAGAGAGAGAGAGAGAGAGAGAGAGAGAGAGAGAGGGAGAGACATTGATGTGAGAGAGAAACATCAATCTGTTGCTAATCGTATGTGCCCTGACTGGGTACGTGCCCTGATTGGGGATCGAACCCACAAGCTTTTGGTGTACAGGGTGATGCTCCAATCAGCTGAGCCACCCGGTTAGAGCATGAGCACGGAAGTTTGAGAAGCACTTGTACAAAGCAGACAGCTTTGTAGGACATACAGCCCAGTAATCGTTTCTCCTCATGTTTCACTTAGTATTTAACTCCAAGATGGGTTCATTGCTTATGTATGTTGCAATTTTGGGAAGATATCTGCTGGGTTTGCTCTCTCTCGATTACACTTTATAATCTCATTTACAAGTGAGTTAAGGCACTTTCTGCTCTTCTCTTACTGCGTCTTTCCCCATTTTTTTTTCCATCCCCGTTACTTCTCTCCCTCGGTTCCCCTCTCGTCCCTTTCCCTGTGCCCCTACTGTCTGGACACCTGGCGCAGCTAGCAGAGAAACTGAAGCTGTCGGATCCGCTGGTGCTCGAGAGGCGCCGCGGAGGGAGGGACCTGGAGCCGGACTGGCTCCTGCGCCTCCGGAAGCTGCACCAGGAGCTGGAGGTGAGTGAGGCGGGAGCGGTCAGTGTGCGGGCCCTTTGTTTCCCTCTGGACACTGAGGGTGCAGGGCACTGACTCCATGGAGGGCTGTGGGGTCCCGCATCATCCTGAAGCCCCTCTCCTGAGCCGAAACATTTTCCTGTGTTCGCTTGTGAGGCAGTGGGGCCCTTTTCAAAGTCATTCCCGCCTCCCTCTCTGTGGTCCCAGAAAATACCTTTTGTGACGATCAAGGCTTCCATCTCTCTGTTAGGAACAATGGATCACAGTGGACCCGCATCGCTTTCATGTAATGTAGGGCGTTTGCTTAAAAGACTTCCAGGCCTTTCCTTTTGGTTCTGACAATTGCAAAAGCTGCTGGTAGTGATTGTGACAATAATTGGAACAGGGCTTCCTCCATCTTCTTTCTCCCAAGGCCTCTTAGAAAGGACAGGTGGAATTTTTAAGGCGCGACCGGCCTCCCTCCATGTGCTGCACATACTGGGGCATTGGGTTCCTGCACTTGACCCTTCCTGGGCCCTGGTGGTCTGGTCCCCTGGCCCCTGCCTGCTCTGGCAGAGCTGGGAGATGAGAGGCCTGAGGCCTACCCTTCTGACCTCCCCCATAAGCTCCTCCCTCCTGACCTCCCTCGCCAGCAGCCTCCTCCCCCACCAGCTCCTCCCCCTCCTGACCTCCCTCACCAGCAGCCTCCTCCCCACCAGCCCCGCCCTCCTGACCTCCCTCACCAGCAGCCTCCTTCCCCACCCCCCAGCATTCGGCTGGCTGAGGTTCCCTCACCTTGTCATGTTCTCTGGTTTCTTTTTTATTTAATTTTTAAACCATTATTCCCTGTTCTCGTTTCTGTTTGTGTTGCTTAAAGGATTTTCCTTTATTTCAAATAGCAAAAGGCATCGGCAGACACTGGGAACCCCCATTCTGTTCACCCAGACATTTCAGGAGCCCAAGGAACAACAGGTACCCAAACTGATGAGCCCAGTGTGTAAGTAGCTGACTCTTGGGACCTGGGTCTAGGAGAGACATCACTGAACGCATGTTAGCCTCTCCCTTCCTGGAGCGTTCCCTGGCCTGTGTCAGTCTGACTCGGTGGCCCAGGCACCTCCTCACACAGCTCCTGTGGCCGCGGTCATCCTGACACGTCCAGGTGCCCGCCCTGTTAGAGTTTCTGCCCAACGTCCAGGTTTTGATACTTGTTACACCGCGTTGTTGTCTAACGTCCCGGCTCTGTTACTACAGTCTCCCCAGCTGAATACATTTCTTGAGGCCAGAGATGGCGTATGACCTCTATTTCACGTTAGTGTTGGGGACGTCTTAGGATTTTTGAGCTGTAGGTTGGCACATGCATTTGAAATGTGTTTCAAAGCATTTCAGCACATACCTCCTTTCCCCTCAGGATGCCTCTGAGTGTTGGGTTTGCAGACATTGTTGCCCCCAATTAATTCCATGCCCTTTCCCCAAATTACACCCCACTGTGGAGTCAGACTGAGCCTCGTCTCTTTACTTCCGGCCACTTCCTGCCTTAGCTCTCCCTTCAGGGACGGGCGAAGGGAGGCCACAGGGCAGGTCTGGGCTTCTGTTTCTTGGCTGTGTTACCACGTCACAGAGCCTGTGAAGGTGAAGGAGAGCCAGACTGGTGTCTCCGAACGGCCGCTTCCGCTAGAAGCCGCTGTTGGAGCAGGTGGGTGGGCCGCCCACTCCCATCCCGTGACCCTGGGCCAGTCAGCAGAAGGGCAGAACCCAAACAAACCCACCAGGGGCCCTTGCAGGGACAACACTCGACTTCCTTAAGAGCAAAGCCATCGTTTCTGTGGTTTGATTTGCATTTTAACTGACGTCTTTCTAAGTGTTACATACCCAAGCCCACTAGGGAATCCTTGCAGAAGAACGTTCATCCAAACATAACCACGTGTGGCTTTACATAAGATGGCAGCCTCTGCCCTCCCAACCACTGGTGGGAGGCTCAGGGATCATACAGGTGGTCAGGGAAATGCTTTTACCAGCTCACAGTCGCAGACACCGAGTGCTGTCACAACGGCTGGGTTGTACTTGCCATCACATGGGTGGCAGCCACAGCAAGGGGCCTGTCCCCGTGACCACCTCCCAAAGAGGATATGGGAAGGAAGGTACCCCGGTGTGCAGTCCCTGCGAATGTGACAGGTCTTTCTTTCTCTTCACCCTGTGTTCTTAGGAAACACTTTCTACCATGATTTTTCGGGACATCGAGGTGACTCAGAAGCCACTGGGGACCCCTCTGCCCGGCGGCCACCAGTGGAGCCAGTGGGCCCCGCCTGGCCCAGCCCACAGCAGCCCTTGCCCCTCCAGCCAGGCTCCTACCCAGCAGGAGGAGATTTGGGACAGACGGGGGTCCCGGTGCCTCTTTACTCAGTCCCTGAGGCCCGTCTGCCAGGGATCGGTGGCAGCACGGCAGTGACAGAGGCTCCTGGAGGAAGGCCCTGGGCAGAAACCCAGCAGCCACCCCCGCCCCCTGGTAAGACCTGTGCTAAGCTGGCAGCCTGGGGTGCGGAGTTCTGGAGGAGAGGAGGCAGATGGGGAGAGGCAGGGACCAATGGGGAGCTGGTAAAGACCTGAATGGATGTGCACATGGTGGAGGGCCTACTGTGTGTCAGCCCTGGTGCTGGTGCTCTGCATGCAGCCAGGGGAGATTGCTCTCTCCCTTCCACTCAGCTCTCCACTGGGACAAGCATAGCGCGACCAGCAGCAGCCTCCCCCCGAGGCTCACAGTTTCTAGGAGAGAGGCTGCAGGTGGAGAAGGGAGGAAAGTGCCACCTGCACCCTGAGCCACAGTGAGGGTCAGGTCCTACTAAGGCCAAGAGCTCGCTGCCTGCAGAGACCTGTGCTCCCGTCCTCTTCCCAAGCGTCTTAGGCCCATTGGGCCTTGGACAGCAGGGCTGAGTGTGGGTGAGCCGTGCTGAGCATTGCCAGGGACGTGCTAGAGCAGTGGTTCTCAACCTTCCTAATGCTGCGACCCTTTAATACAGTTCCTCATGTGGTGACTCCCAACTATAAAATTATTTTCGTTGCTACTTCATAACTGTAATGTTGCTACTGTTATGAATCGTAATGTAAATATCTGATATGCAGGATGGTCTTAGGTGACCCCTGTGAAAGGGTCGTTCGACCCCAAAGGGGTTGTGACCCACAGGTTGAGAACCGCTGTGCTAGAGGCTTAGATCTTAGACCCTCGGAGATAGGGCCTGTCCACACAGGACACGTAAACGGAGGGAAGGGCCAGGGAGGACCCCAGGGTCCTAGCTCAAGGGGGCCCTGACTTCCAGGATTCCTAAGGAACAGCCATGGTGTTCAGGGTAGAGGAGGGGTGAGCGGCATGTCCTGGGCAGCTGGGTGAGAGGGCCAGCAAGTGGACCTCACGTTTCCTGTGATCGGCTTGGGCTGGGGGCTCAGAGCGCCAGCTGCTTGGAGGTTGGGAAAGCCGACTGTCCCCATTACCTGCCTTAGGATGGAGGGAAGCGGCATAGCCGCAAGTCACGGTTTTGTTTCTTTTTGTGCCACAGCAGAGGACACAGTGTCTCAAGGAACCTTCCAGCATCCTGATGGTCAAAAGCTGGATTCCAAACCACAGGTGAGAGGACGAAGCCCCACTAAGCGTCAGGTTTTCCAGCCACCTGCTTTCTTAGCCACATGCAAACTCCCTCGCCGGCCTGGCACCTGCTCGCCCTTCCCCGGGCACCTCATTTCTTCTTGTTTCCTCCTACACCAAGTCCCGAGATGTGGGGAGGCTGTTCTGATGCTCAGTCCCACCTGCCTGTGTCCCGGGGTGGGGGTGGGGGAGCAGCAGGGCCCTGTGTAGTTTTGGCCTCACGGGTCTATTCCTCTGACACAGTCTTACTGTCACATCAGACATGCCACCCCCTGCCCCATCCTGGAAGACTCTGGCTATTTCTTTCTTTATTTTCTTTCCTAACTTGCTTTACTTCAAGAAGGGTCTATGGCATCTGTGTCTTTTGTCCTCAGCGAGGCTGTGAGGTCTCGGAGGTGAGCGCGTCTAACGAATCTTTCTGTCTGTAGCGGTTGAGTGAATGCTCCCTTCCCCCAGCCCTGGGCGGCACTGGTTCCACATTTACGAGGCTCTTTGGCTTTGCCTGGTGGGAGGGTTACATCATGTAACTTTCTCAAGGAGTGATCGGCTATGAGTCTTAAAAATTTCTATACTTTTACTTTTTTCTGACTGAAAAAGTAGTACATTATTAATGATAGAAAACTTGAAAAATGAAGAATCAAACAGATATCACTCATAATCCCAAAGTCAAATATTTTGGTAATTTTCTTTCAATACTTTTGAAAGAAATGGGTGTGTATGTATACACACACACACACACACACACACACACAACTATGTGTTTTTAAATGGTTAAAAACATATGAATATGAACATTTAATTCCTATTTGTTATTTAATGGTATAAAATGAGATTTTTCCATGTCATTCATAGGCATGATTTTTAATATTGGTATGGTAAAACCCATTGTTTGAAAGCACCATCATTCATCCATCCATCCATTCATTCATTCGTCTACAAATACTGAGGTCCCACAATGTGCATGGATTTAGTGAGCAGGTCAGGTCAGGTGACACAGTCCCTGTAAAGGTGCCCCTGTAACCTGTTCAGGGCTATACATGTATCAGTGCTTATTTTCTTTAACTCCAGGTGCCACTGATTTCCAGAGCTCAAAATATTTCCGAGAATTCCACCGTTTCAGCCAAGGAGGAGGAGGAATCGTCCTCGGATGAGACAGATAAAAAGTCTTCCCCAGACACTGCACGGAGAGAAAAGGTAGGAGACGGGGGAGAGGACACACAGGCGGGGCGACTGGGTCTTCTCTTTCCAGCCCACTGGGCGATCGGGGCTCTGGTTGTGTCCCCTCCCCCCACTCACCACCGTCAGACTTGCACCTACAGGCCATCTAACTTCCTCTTCCTTCCCCCCCGCAGAGCTCAGGCTTTGGCTGGTTCAGCTGGTTTCGCTCCAAGCCCACCCATAGCACATCCCCCTCTGGGGACGAAGACTCCTCCGACAGCCCCGACTCAGAGGTAACGTGCGGGAGGACAAGGAAGCACCCTCTTCTGGGCCCTCCCGAGGGCCGGAGCTGGCAGGGGATCTCCCCAGGCTGGATGAGGCGGAGGTTTTGTGAAGGGACAGAGGTGGTGGGAAACACATTGGTCCTGTGAGGGGCAAGGCAGAGGATGGGAGGCCTGAGAAGTTAAGATGAAGCCTTTCCACGTTAGAGGGCCAGCGGAGATTTGGGTTTATTAATAAGCAGAGAGCCCCACCGCAGGTTGTGGGTGGAGGCTCCGCTGTGGGCGCTGTAGGAATACAAGTAGGCCCGCCCGGACCTGTTCACCACCAAAGCCGCCTTTCTTCCTCCACAGCAGGAGACCCCCAGAGCATCTTCTCCGCCTCAGGCTGGCTCCGGCCTCTCACTGACACCTCTCCCAGAGCCCCCGTCTCTGCCGGGCCCTGGCACCTTCTCCAGGGGCGCAGGTACAGCCAACTGCATGTTCTCTGGGCCATCGGTGGTCCAGGGGTTGAGGTACCTGCTGGGAGTGGGGACTCCTCAGTGCTGGGCCGGGGAAACAGCTCTGACTCCTTGCTTTCTAGGTGGGGGTGAAGTCCAAGGACCGGCGTCCAGTGGGGGAACTGCTGAGGTCACTGGGAATGGAGGCTGGTCCGGGCTCCAGGTGAGCAGCCCATGGCTGTGGCCCAGGGCCACACCAGATGCCTATGTGTGCGAGGACTGAACCTTCAGCGTGGGGGCCTGACTCCAGGGGAATGTGGGGGACGCTTCTCTCTGAGTTTGCTGGGGTTGCCACAACAAGGGGCCACAGACTGTGAAGCTTAAACAAAACTACAGAACTTTATTTCCTTATGGTTCTGGAGGCTGGAAATTGGAGATCAAGGTGTTGGTAGGGTTGGTTTGCCCCGAGGCCTCTCTCCTTGGCTTGTAGATGATCCCCGTCTGCTCATGTCTCCCCATGGTCTTCCCTCGGTGTGTGTCTGTGTCCAAATTTTCTCTTCTTACAAGGACATGGGTCATGCTGGGCTAGGACCCACCATAATGTCCTCATTTGCCTTAATCACCCTTAAGGACCCTGTATCCAAATACTTTCAGAAGTACTGGGATTTGGATTTCAACATATGAAGTTTTGGCGGGACATGATTTAGCCCATAACTGCTTCCATAGGTGAAATCTACAGAACTTTCCATGTCCCAGTAGGAGCCGGAGCTCACCATTGTGCGTGGCCAGGGCTGTAATAAACTCTGGTGTGATTTCATGCTGATTGCTAGGAGAGCATTTTTATTTCTTGTGGCCGGTTAGAGTGCTCTTATAGTACTTCAGGCCTTTCAAAGAATAGATTATTTTTTATGCTGCTATCATCATTGTGGCTCTTTCTTCTCATGTGCTCCAGGGACAGCTGCACCCGAGCTTCTGCGTTGCCACCTAGACCCAGGGGGTAGCTGTGCCCACTTGAACCATGTTTTTTTTGCTTGAGATTCACTGAGTTTTATTAAGAAGCCCTTCCCATCTGTATCTCTTTTTAAAAAAAATTTAAATTGATTTCAGAGAGGAAAGGAGAGGGAGATAGAAGGAAACATCAATGATGAGAGACAATGATTGATCAGCTACCTCCCTCATGTCCCCCACTGGGGGTTGAGCCCGAAACCAGGGCATGTGCCCCTATTGGGAATCCAGCCATGACCACCTGGGTCACAGGTCGGTGCTCAACCACTGAGCCACACTGGGCAGGCCCCATCTGCATCTCTTGACCAAAGTTGAATCCGGGGGGCAGTGACTGATAGGATTTTCTGTTATTTTTTGTCACAGGGTGTTTCCTCTGAGGCCTACTTCAACCCGGGTGCCCTGCTTCCCCCAACCCCCTTGAAAGGGGCTGTTCCTCTCTACAATCCATCTCAGGTCCCCCAGGTGAGGAAGTCCTGAGGGACAGGGGTTAGCACAGGTTTTGGATTATGGAGGGTCCAAGGGTTTAGAAATCCTAGTTTACCACATACCGTGCATGAGTTCTTGAGCAATGACTTAGCCTTTCTAAGTCCCAGTTTTTGCATCTGTAAAATGGGCTTAGTGGTAGGTACCTCACTGTGTGGTTGTGAAAATTCAGTAGGAGCATATGTGTATGTGAAGGACCTGGCACACAGAAGGACCTGTCAGTCAGTGTTGCAATTATCAACACTGCTCCTGACATTTCATAACTCCTGAGACTCCAGGGACACAACTGGTGTTGGTATCAGCAGTGTGCCTGCACCCTCACTCTGTCCTGATGTGAGGGGATCATTGCAAACCTTGAACGAAGCTAAACTCCCTGCTTCTCAGTGACCTGGGGCACACTGATGGCTCTCATGTGTCACTTGGCCTCCCCACTTTATAAAATCAAATTTCTTTTGCCATGTTTATTCTATTTATTTATTTTTATCCTCACCTGAGGATATATTATTTTCCATTGATTTTTAGAGAGAGTGGAAGGGAGAGGGAGAGAAAGAGAGAGAGAAACATGGATGTGAGAGAAACACATTGATTGTTTGCCTCCCATACGTGCCCAGACTAGGGCCAGGGATGGAACCTGCAATCCAGGTATGTGCCCTTGACCAGAATCAAACCTGAGACCCTTTAGTCTGCAGGCCGATGCCCTATCCACTGAGCCTAACTGCCCAGGACACTTTTTCCATAGTCAAGAGCTATGGTGCTGGGTGGAAGTGAATAATTAGAACATCACACTAGGAAGCCAAATGCAGCTGGAGTGTTCTAGACTCTCAGGATGCCCTAGCTCAGCCCAGTCAGTCAGCCCTTGGAGGAATCGTGCTCAGGGCTCTAATCCAGTGCGATGTTGGTTCTCTTCCAGCTCCCCACGGCTGCTAGCCTGAGCCGGCCAAGCCGTCTAGCTCAGCGTCGCTATCCAACACAGCCATGATGACCAGCCACCCATCCCAGGCCCGTTTCCCTGGGGCACAACATTTAAATCTCCCAGCTCCGCTGCTGGGTTGGGGCCCCCAGGAGGTTGTGCTAGACTATTGCCTCCACTGGGTATGGAGAAGGCAAGTGGACAGGGTACGCCAGGACACAGCACAGTTCTGTCTCTTAAGATCAGCTTCACATGATGGAAATGACTTCATCACATGGAAAAGCTGGGCATGGAGGCAGCACTGAGGACGGCCACTTCACATTCTCAGAGCCTAAGGGATCGATGAGGACACTACTGGGCTCTGCAGCAGGAAAGTATTGGGGGCCGGGGGTCACTCAGAGCAACATCCTGGACTAATTTGACTCCTTTCTCACTTATAGACCAATTTATGACTCTATTTAGCAAAAGCTTTTATACTAAAACTTAATTATTCTCATCATAATTCCCTTTTCAGTGGCATTTCAGCAGCTTCTCTGTTGGTCCTTGTTTTGTGCACATTTTTATGTGGTTCAGATTAATTATATTTCTCTCACTTTCTTAGCCGGTCCTATTTTTTCATATTCTGGCATCTGGCTATCAAGTTAGATTGCTGTAGGCATCATATTGTCATGGTAACTACCTAACCTATCGATGCAGATGGATGGAACGTTAGTCTAATAAATGGTGGAAAACATTTTCTAAAACTTCACCCCTTCCCTGACAGGAGGAATGAATGTGCGATATTGTTAATTCCTCCCTCCCTGCTTTAGGGCTTTGCAAATCGATGTTCGGTGTGTCACTGGAGGCAGAGGGACGAGGCGGACAGCCTAGAAATTCCCATTTTTTTTTTTTCCTTTTCAACCCCAAATAGAAACGACTCTCGGTGTTTGTCAGATTGCTAAAAATTGCTCCTCAAAAAGAATTTTTTTTTGTATGTGTAATTGTACATACAGGTTTTGTACTCGAATGTACTACAGTTCTAATGTTGGTAGCGATTAAACCAGATAATTTTATAGCAAATGTTTATCCGTGGCACATTGAGTGGTCTCTTCCCTGAAGTCTTTTCTAACAATGGTTTCATTGTGCAATAGGGTGCGAAGACCTGGAAGGAGCCCTTTGTTAACGAAGAACCTAGGGACTGATCCTCCTAACTTCCACGTCTACTCCAATTTTTTTTTTCAGTTAAGAAAATATGAACAAAAGCTTCTCCGATGCAAACAATCACTCCATTAACTACATATTTTGTTTTCTAAAAAGTTTCTCCATCTCTCACATTAAATTAGGAAATGCACCCACAAGTGTTTTGCATCTAGAAGGCCCTCTGTGAATGCCATGCCCCCTTCTTCCTCCTCCAGGTTGGTGTGCTGACACCCAGTGGTGATATTATGGTAGTAGTGGGTGAGTTCCACAGGAGTCACACTGCTCAGACTTGAATCCTGGCTCATGCCCAGTTTACTTAGTGACGTTAGCCAAGTTTCCCTAACTGTCCTGCGCTTCTCATCTGTAACGTGAGGATAATAATTACAGTAGTACCTACCGCATAGAGACATTGCAAGAATTAAATGAGTTGAGCTTGTAGAAAAGTACCTGGGACATGCTAAGCACTAGGTAAGTGTCTTATTTTTTTTTTTTAATTATCAGTATATAACCTATAAGTAAAATCTTGACTATCATGTTACCTAACAGATTACACTGTGGATTTTCATTCTTGATACAGGTATAGAATGGGAATAATAATTTAAAACTACTCAATATGTACCTTTATTATTAAGCCAGTTTCTCTTCCTGCAGCCTATCTGCCACCAGTGCTAGGTCATGTGGCTTCGAGCCCCTGGGACCAAGGATGCGGGGGACATCCTGCCCCATAGAAAGAAGCCCATTAGGGGAGGAGAGTGAGGACCGAAGAGGAAGGCAGAGATGGCAGATGCGTGTGCCCTCACTTCCTCCTCCTGCTGGGATTCTACATGGAAGACCAGTGACTAGTGTGCACAACGCAAGCGCTGATCTTAGCTATGTCCCAGGCAAAGGGAACACACTTGCTGAAGGGGGAAGTCAGGGCATTTATGAGAATTCAGGATTGCAAGTATATATCCCGGGGAAGTCAGAATGCACCTGTTCATCTGCGTGCGGTTGATTGAAACAAGTCCTGTCATTCATTGGTCCGGAGAGAGCCCTCCGCTGGGTCCGGTAAGGGTCTGCTGAAAGGGGTCACTCAGGGGTCTTGGTTGTTTATTAGCTTTTCTTAGTGGTGGTGATGCTGGTGAGGTTGCTAAAGGTCATGATCATTTTACAGCTTCAGCTGGTTCAAACCAGTTGCGCTAAAACAAAGCAAGTGCGGCCATAAGAGAAAACACTATTTCCTCCCTTTGCAAGATGGAAGCGTGGGGAGTAGAGCAGATGGTGATAAAAATATGCTGCTAGGGCCGAGGCCGGTTTGGCTCAGTGGATAGAGCGTCGGCCTGTGGACTGAAAGGTCCCAGGTTCGATTCCGGTCGAGGGCATGTACCTGGGTTGCGGGCACATCCCCAGTGGGAGATGTGCAGGAGGCAGCTGATCGATGTCTCTCTCTCATCGATGTTTCTGACTCTCTATCTCTCTCCCTTCCTCTCTGTAAAAAATCAATAAAATATATTTAAAAAAAAAATATGCTGCTAGGAACAGGGAGCCCGAGAGTGGGGGACTCATGGCGCCTTTCCTTGTCCAGAGCTTGGGAAAGGCTGCGAGCCATAAGGAGAAGCTGGCTTTGTCCAAGGGGACTTAGGAGCCATAGCAGCTTGGCCTTGGGGATGACCATGGTCTGAGGCAGGGCCTTAACTCCCTGCAGTCTGGTATATGTGGACTCCTTAGGAGTGATTACACAGTGCCCCCAAAGGCCACAGGGACCATTGTGCCCCAGCAGACACCAGGCCAGGGCAGGGTCAAACCAGTCACCCCACACGCATGGGGCTACTGTATCTGCCCATCAGCATGAGTCATTTTAGGGTAAGAGAATAAACAATTTTCTTTAAAGAAAAAAAGGAATTACCAAAAGGCACTTTTTAAAGGGCGAAGAGACATATTATTAATTGCAAGTTTGTTTTTTATTTCCCCTTACTCCTCACTGGGGTGCCCTTCCTAGAGGAAGAATAGCTTTAGGAAATGAAAAAGTGACATTTTCCTTAAAAAAAACAACAACAACAACACACAAAAAACCATACACACTGAGTGCACATTTGCAATCCTGCTATATACATATAATTTAATATTTATATGAAAACATTTAAACAACGTTCAGTAATTTTGGAAGAGAACAAACCGTTAAATTCCATGTAAGTGTATTTATCACATATGACCATTCCAGCCTTCTGTCTGATCCTCTTCTGTGGCTACAACACTGCAAACCAGCAGAGATTCCCAGTCACCTCTACCGTACAGATTCCCTCTGAGCCTTCACTTGAGCCACAGGTGGCTCAGGATCAAAGTCTCCCCTAGAAGCCTTCTTTCTCTTTGGTCTCTTCCTCTGAGCAATCAAGAGGGAGAGCGAGAGACTGCATCTGATCTTCACATTAAAAACAGAATATTTTCTTCCCGAGAGGAAATATGCAAGACACTCCTCTGCCTGAAAGGAGTAATAGGTGGTAATTTGGGTCTCACTCACAGGAGTTTCTGGGACACTTTAACCACAGAGAGTGGAAGGGAAGTGCCCTTTCCCCCCTTCTGTTTGCCATCTAAATCTGGCAATTGGGTGTATCACGATTTGCACGCAATAGGGTGTTGGGTGCTTACCTGAGGCTGCCTCTAAACATAGCCCTGAGGCGGCCTGCTCCCATGAAGTAAACCAGTAAACCAGGCGCCCTTCATTCAGGTCCTTCAGAAATGGTTTCTTAATGAGACTGAACGCTACTTTGAATTCAGACTGAGAGCATATTAAATGTTTCATTACAGTCTCACTAAGTAGGGGAATCTGCTTTCCACACTTTCTTCCTTTTGGGACCTATCTCCAGGTAATAACAGTACTTGGCTGAAACTAGGTCAACAGCAACACAACTCACGCTTGACTGACTGGGGCAAGCTGCTTCATATTTTAATGTGAGATGCTTTCCTGGTCTCTTGAACCATCTTAGAGAGAGCCGATTAAATATCCAATTTTTACAGAATCTCAAGAGACGGGGATTCCATGGCCGCCCTTGACGCTTCAGCCTAGAGTTTCACACCCTTGAACATTAGGAAGCTAGCTATTCCTAATACTTTATACTCAAATCACTCATGTGGCTCTTTTAAGACGCTCAGCTGGTCCTCAACGGAGATGGAAAACAGCTGCTCACCACCACCTGTGCCTGGAACTCTTTCACATTCTGCAAGGATCAAATCATGGCTCAGCTTCTGAAATGAAGGCTTACAAAATGTTTTTTTTTTTTTTCTTGACTAGATCAAACCAGCTAAATGCTTGGAATCTTTTGGTAGCTATAGTGGCCATACACTTTGAGTTTCAATAACTAATATTTCTTGAATATTTTTTAAAATATGTTTTTATTGATTTCAGAGAAGAAGGGAGAGGGCGAGAGATGGGGGAGAAACATCAATGGTGAGAAAGAATCATTGATCGGCTGCGTCCTGCATATCCCCTATTGGGGATCAAGCCTGCAACCCGGGCATGTGCTCTGACTGGGAATTGAACTGGTGGACTCTTGGTTCATGGGTTGATGCTCAACAACTGAGCCACACTGGCCACACTATTTCTTGAGTACAGTGGGGCCTTGACTTACGAGTTTAATTCGTTCCATGACGGAGCTCGTAACTCAAATTACTCATATATCAAATCAACAGTGAACGAGTGAGACACGTGATGCTGGGCTGATGTTGTGGCGTTCACTGTGATGTTCACTGCGCCAACTAGTGGTGGGGTATCTGAAGCTGGCTCGTAACCTGAATTTTAGCTCGCAACTGAAAGCAAAAAATCGGTGGGGAGACGGCTCGTATCTCGAAAAACTCGTTAGTCGGGACACTCGTAAGGCAAGGCCCTGCTGTATTTGCTTTGTGTTAGGCGCTGTGGGATGCATTCTACGAAGACTGTTTTACTGCAACATGTTATAGATGAGGAACCTGAAAACCCAAGAGAGAGAGAGATTAAGAAATTTGTCTAAGGTCACATAGCAAGTAAGGATGGAACTGGGATAGGAATCCAGATAGTCTGACCTCTGAATCTGGGCTTTTAGCCACATTGTCCCAGATATATGTACATTTATTTGTTCAGTTATTCATCAAATACTAATTGAATAATGTGTCAGGCATTGCATTGCTTTCCCAACAAGATGATCTTGACACTTAAAATACTCAGAGTCTAGTGAGGGAGACAGACATATATACACAAAAATTACTGCCTAATATAACTGTCATACTTAAAGAGAATTTAGTGCCTTGCCATTCCTTAATAATATAGGGGTTTCATCTATTCATATAATTTGGGGGCTGATATGTAATACAGTCAAATTGTACCACCTATTGTAGTTAAGATCAAAGTTAAGTTCATCGCTAGTGCATAGCATAGCAAATCTTTGTGCCAGAATTTGAAGTGGCATAAAGAATCAGTGGGTATGTGTGAAGTCTGAAGGAACAAGGGTGACCGTGCACTGTGATCACCAATACCATGGGGACAATGGCATCTGAAAGGGAGATCATGTGATTTAGACTCACCAAACCGCTAGGACAGAATCTCGTCTTGTTTCTTCCTGCCCTTTGCAGGATTCTGAGGCAGGAAAAGACTGAGCATTGCAGTGGAAGTCTGCAGAAAAGGTCCGAGGTGGAGAGTGTGTGTGATTTAGTGTGTGTGCACATACATGAACGCCATCCCATGAGGACCTTTCCTCAATGTATCTCATTTCACCTAAGCTCCACCCCCAGCCTTTTATTTCCTCTTCTTCACAATTGCTGTTGTGAAGAAGCCTCTCCACTAAGCATCTTCCAAGTGGCCTGGAAGATACCCATAGAGCCCTATTCACCAGAATAGGATATAACAGATCTTATGTCAATAAATCCAAACTTTTGGCTAGAAGATTTTAGCTAATTTTTAATGCTCCCTGGCTTTTGGAAATGAAAGGCCTTGACTTGTAAAACTTGTCTCTGAGTTCTAAGAGGCCATTTTGGAATATAAAAGATAATCACAGTTTCTTTTCCACTGTTCTTATGCTCTACAATCATGGTGTGCAGTCAGGAGGAGACCTCGTCATCCTGGA